TCTAGGGTGGGTTTTAAGCTCTAATGAGTAAATAACACGGTACATTTTTTTCGCTCAGTTTTGTCCTCCACTTTTTCCACCAGTTGGAAGTATCTTGGACAGGATTCGGGAAGCATAGGAAAGTAATCAGTACAAATAGTATACAGAATGGGGCCAAGAATGTTCCCTTGTGGGACTCCGGCTTGTATCAGGCTGCAGAGAGTACTCGTTGCAGCATTTCACTCTGAACAGCGATCAGTTAAAAAAGATTCCGTGACAAGAGATTAAAGAGCGGGTATGAAACGAGGATGCCTGGAAAAGTCTAGACCAAATGAGGTTATATATTATTCCTGTACCTTAATTACTTTGTGTATTTTTTGTCAAAAGTTTTATGCCTATCCCGTTTAATAATGTATGTTTGTTCCATTTTTTGTTTGTTGTAATATAAAACAGAAGGGACAAATAGATAAAATTGTGTAAACCTGGTTATTGCATGTATTTACTGTATGTACATTCACTGTTTTTTGCTATAAATTTTTATTATAATATTTGCTCTCTTTGTGTTTTACATATTTTACTGCTTACTCTAATTCTTTGCAAAGTAATGTAACTATAAACCAATCTCGTTGGGCGATGAAAATTTAAAGCGTCTGACTTTACACGTTCCAATGTCTCATTTATTCGCCTAATTTTCAATGGTAACACTCAACAGAGATTATCGGATCTGCTAATAAGCCTTGGTTTGTGTGTCGTGTTCGCTGATAAGATAATAGGCTGTTTCCAAACAATAGTAGGTTTTTTACATCTACCCCACCTGAAATTCTTCTTTCAACAATGAAATTTACACTGACAGGTAAAAAATTCCACCCGCTTGTAATATAACTTGATTTGTATATGTTTTTATATCGTTGACACCATGTTAAAGTGACGAATGTGAAAAGTGGAGAAATCCATATTCGTCACTTTAACATGGTGTCAACGATATATTAATCAAAGTTTCACGTTTTTAAACGACAGATAAAATTTATTTTAATTAAATTTTTAATTAACACTTTAATAGTGCGTTTATCCTCCTCTTGCCTTAATTACATCTCAAAGACCCTCGGCACACCAGTCTGGCGATGTCTCTTTGCTGGAGGATAGCCCATTCTTCACGAAGAGACCTTTCAAAATTGTGGAGTGTATCAGGAAGTAATTGTCGTGCTCTTATTCGTCTTTTGAGGTTATCCCATAAATGTTGGAGGGTTCAAGTCTGGAGAACGGGCCGGCCAGGCTAAGACCCTGATGTTATGTTGTTGAAGGTACGTTTGTACTATGCGAGCGACATGTGGGCGGGCTTTATCTTGCATTAGAATAGGATTGTCGCTGATTTAATCGAGGATAGGCAACGCATGATGTTCCAAAATTTCATCCACATAGCGAATGGTCGTCAAAGAACCCTCCACGAACAACAACCAATGTAGCTCAGTGATGGTGTGTGCGACTCTCCCGCCCACATCATCACTGAGCTACACTGCAAAGGCTGGCTCTGGGAAAAATTACAGGCTTCATACCTTTCATTTCCCCTTCCCCACACTCTTTCACGCCCATCTGGAGATCATAGAGCAAATCTACACTCATCTGTAAAAAGTACAGCAGATCAATCGTTCATAGACCAATGGCTGTGTTCTCGAGCAAACGGAAGCCGTCCAACTCTTTGTTCTGGTCCACTCTGGTCCTTTTACCGGGCGGAAAGCCATCAATTCATACTGATTTAATCTTCTTGGAGCAGTGCGTTCAGAAATCTGGACACCTCGAACTTCCTGGAGCTGATGAATCGCTTGAATAACAGTGAGGTTCCGGTTTCGCAAAATTCTCAGTCAAAAAACTGTCATCCTGTTGTTCTGTTACCCTTGGGTGTCCAGAACCGGGCCAATGGTAGGACCCAGTTGCTAGAAAACGTCTCGCAGTGTTTCGTAGGGAACTCCGATGGCAATAGCCGCAACCTGATGGAACGTCCTTCATCAATAAGTGCCACACCACGCACAACATCCTCAGCATTATCCTAGTTTTCGATTAAGGATTAAGTATGTTTACCTCTAATTCCCAATTTAAAACAGCATAAACAAATATTTATTGGTAAAAACAACGAGACCAATTTAGGGCAGGATTTTCTTTATCGAGAAAATGATGGATGGAATTGGATGGAATATTTTGCTTGTCAGTGGACTCGAGAATACTTATAACAAATTTTTATGAGTGGGAATCGGATAATACATAATTTAATTAAAGAAGCAAAAAGAAATATTCACATTGGAGATTTATTGTGTGCAATTATTCAAATGTACTTCAAAATATCCCCTTCTTTTGAAACCAACTGTTGATTTTGGTTTTTAGGTTCAGCTTTTATTTTTTATTTTGACTTATTTTTTTAAGAACATCATCTATCCGTGATAGAAATAGGAAATAAATATATTTAAAATAACTGAACACATAAAAAATAAACACCTTTTTTTGGTATAAAACACTGTGTCACATTACTAAATAATAAGTCTGAAAAGATGCAAGTTAACAAACTTATGCTTCCGAAGTGGTTTTTCAGTTTCAAAAACTATCAGTTAAAACGTTAACAAATTGTAGAACAATACACGGAAGAAAAAAAATCTTAAAATTTGAAAGAAAACGTACACAATTTAAATGTCGATTTTGAAAAAAGGGAAAAAAAGATAGTTGGACTACAGGTTTAAAATCGTTCACAATTCAACGTAACGGACATCATTTTCCTCATGTCCAGTCGGTCCACTTTTGTCCACCCCTTGGTAACAGATGCATCTTCAAGAAATCAAGGATGGTTGGACGTCAAGGGGGTTCGCTTGCAAAACCGGTTCTGCAGGGGATGCATGGGGTGCGCAGGTGGCTTGACGGATAAAAGTAATAGGAATGAAGTCTATTGTTAAGTCCTACCGACTACTTCCTTCCTGCTAACGCCGTTAAACTCGTACTTTGGCAAAACGTCTTTGATCAGTTTCAAAATTAAACAATTATGGTTAATAGTTGGGTGTTCATGGCCTGACGGATTGGAAAACACTATCATCTCGTATCCATTTAGTAGAGATTCTACTTAAAAAAAAAGAAGTATTTTAATCATTTGACCACATTTGTAAAAATTACTAAAATTTTCAGACTTCAGATCTTCCGTTTCGCCAGTTTGTAGCTTGGTAATGTGAAGTGCCTTTTGTTCATTTCCTGTAGCAGTGAAATCGAAATTAGCTCAAGCAGTTGCATTCTGACTATGGGAAATTTAGAGGTGATGATGGGTTGATGGACGAGTTCTTCATTGAAAATGGTCCAATGCTGAAATTGAACAAACCCGCGAGTGATGGCGGACCCAATAAGTGACCCTATGCTGGTTCATTATGGGAAATTTATCGATAAAAGGATAATTTTAAGTTTATCACTGAAATCGCTCAAATTTTGAAAGATATTCTCCTAGAGACCCGAGCTTCCAGATAGTTTTGCTCAGAGATGCTCTTGACTGCGTCTTATGATAAAAGTTCACTAAAAAATTTTAAACATTGTAGAATGAACTCATCGGAAATAAACCCCATTAGCACAATTTTCTTACTTTCTGTCAGAAAAACACGTCATTTGAAAAATATAACAAAATTTCTGGATTTAAACTCACTAAACACTTTAACCGGTTTTGGAATTTTAGAAAGCCTGATTTAAACAATGCATGACAATTCAACCATAAAAGTGGATTAATTTGAAAACGGATTGCAGTTACAGTTCAATAATTTCAATCTTTAAAGAACTTTAAGAGCTTACTTATCATGATATTTATAATTTACTACTACTAATAACTGATAATTTCGTCTTCCTAACTCATCTCTTAAATATTGAACACATCGATTTGAACATGACACAGCGAGGCCAGGCGGACCAAAATGATATTAATGGCCAAATTACAGATTCACCCGCAGACCACATGGAGAAATCTCACAATGAAACGTACATAATTACTATACATAATACATAACAAAATAATAACTACTGAAATCTCCCAATTTATCAGAAATTTTGTAATATGTGACATGAACGAGCCAAATGACAGTCTCAAAAGAAGGCTATGTCATTTGACGCACAGCTTTTAATGTCCAAATAGTCTAACAGGTTTTCCCGAGTCATTGGTCAATCTGATGAGTTAAAATGCGTACTTTGTTTAACATTTGAAATTAAATAGATTGGAAAAATCCAGAATATTTCAATTGTATGGTAGTAGCACGATAAAAAAAGTTACGTTCATTTGTTAAATAACAGCAATTTCTATTGATTTGAATTCAAAACAGCGAGGAAAAGCGGACCAAAATGATTTACCGAAGAAATTACAGGTTCATCGCCTCGCAGATCACAAGGAGAGATCTCACAATGAAACGTATAATCAGTGGTAGCGTATATTATGGAACTTACTGAAAAAAATCGAAATCTCCCGATTTATCATAATTTTTGTGATATATCATGAAGTTTTTATATAAGAGGCCGATTATTTTTTTCCAGAATATTTCAATTGTACGGCAGTAAAGCGACAAAAAAAGCTCGTCTGTTAAGTATTCGCACTTCGTTTTGAAGTATGTTGTTGATGACTATGAGTTTCTAATTCGTCAGAATTCCATCAATATCGGTGAGGAATAATTATGATGGAGAAGAAAACTAATTTCATATATTGCGTCATCAGAGACCAATATTTTGGTTTATATTCGACCTGCATTTTCACCAACGTCAGGCAATTAAGTGAATAGTTTTAGTTCTTCATCTACATAATCTCCATATGAAACTCTGAGGAATTGTATGTATTCATGATCGTTATGGAAGTTTTCAATTTATAAAAATGACGCAATGAAAATGATTTTTTAAAATAATTTTAATCCGTTAAAAAGCGTATTTTGACAATATTGTTGCAAAATATACAAATTTATGTATTAATTTTTACAATTTTGGCCTTAACGTGTAACTTATAGAATAAGGGTTTTTTTACAATTGCATTAACAAGTCAGGGATTTAAAAGGAAGGCCGGCTTTGGTTTTTGCCAAAGCTTCCATTATCTCTTTTTGTGACATGATATTTTTCAAAAGGAGTCCAAGCAAGAGTTGCTGTTTGGCGTTGCCGATGAAAGGGGAGTCGAGGAAGGCCGGAAATCCTCTGTAGCCGTCTGCAATGGTGTAGAGCGGTGGCCGGACCAGCCCGAGGACCTCCCTGCCGAAATCGCCCCGCGACACCGTTGACCTTTCGATCTCCTCGATCTGCTGCAAGCTGATTTTTTTGACGTAGAAATAGAGGAGTGTGTTGGTCGTCCGACTAAGGTGGACGTACAAAAGGTCCTCCGGGCCGAGGACGACCCTGTTCATCTCGATCCCCGACTCTTCAACTAATTCCCGGTTGATCGTCTGCACAGGAGTCTCGCCCGGGTCGACCATCCCTCCGGGGAATCCGATGTGACCGTCGAACCGCCACTGCATGTGTACAGCTGCCCGTGGGAAATAAACCTTGTCGTATTCTTTGAAGGGGAGAGTGGCGTCTGCGTAGAGCATGCAATGGGCCGCTTGTCGGCAGTCGTGGAACTGCATCCCGGAGAGTATCTGCCCGGTGACATCGATAAATTCTCCGTCACCGGTGAAAATGTTCGTGTCCATCGCGAGTCGAGTCGACTACGTAAAGCGCATCCTCGTAGTGTCAGTGGTTAAAACGGAAAGCAAATCGCAACTGGGGTGCAAGGAGTGAGGAACAGGATAGTCAGGTCCACTTACAAATCTAGTTTTCTCTATCCTTTACTTCAGCTTCTCATCGCTAGTTTAATCAAGTGGTGGGGCATCCCACCTTGGCTGACGTTATTCGATCGGCTACGTCATACATCGAGAACTGCTAAACCGGTTCCGAACCCTTTTACAACAAAAGCGATATTATTTCCCTAGTTTATGGACCTGTTTTAGAGTTTTATGAATGAATTTTATATCAGAACGCATCTTGCATTATGCGAACGATCACAGGTATTCAGTATTCACCCTCATTGCCGAGTTGAACACGGTTGATCGTGAGATACAGACCCCCCAACTTTCCCGAGGTCGAAATTTCAGTGAAAGTCCTTAAATTTATACTAAGGTAGAAAGAAACCAGGTATTCCACGGTTCAATTTATTTAGATATGTTTTATGATTTTCGTTCGTTTTTAAGATTATTAAATTAAACTACCATGGAATACCTGGTTTCTTTCACCTGAATATACTATCTCACTGTGGACTCAACTATGAATCCAATGTACAGTGGAAACCCGTTTTTCCGGACTCCGATGATCCGGACTTCCGGATTATCCGGACCCGTTTGTTAAAATATTTTTTATAAATTATTTGGAGATCGTGAGATGCGGTCTGGGGTAGTAGTTTATATTGGTGTAGTCTCACCATCTCCAAATAATCATTAATTAACGATCACTAAACATCACATATTTTTTATAAATTTTTCATAATTCTAAATGTATATATATTAATTTTTTAAAATTCGTAATTCAGCTATGGGACATTTAATTCGTCGTTCGAAATTCGTAAATGCCACCAAATTGCCCTTCCACTACTCACACGATCGAGGAGAGGCACGTTTCTGTTAAAAAATAAATAAATAAATAAGCAAATAAAAGAAAAAATAAATTGTAAAAAATAAATAAATAAAAGGTGTATACTATTTTAAAAGATATGAAATTGTTGTGTCGTGTTGTTCGTACGCTGGCTTCCAATGAAAAGGTTTTTTTTTATTACGTATATTTTCATTAGGTATTTTTTACGTATAAATATTTCGAGAAACGCGTATCGGGACAACAAAAATAAAAATAATAAAAATTATGTATTACTTTAAATGTTACTTGATATACGAATAAAAGAGTTCACTTTATGTGTTTTTTCCGTTTTTATGACACGATACTAATAAAATCATAAATTTTCGGATTATCCGGACTTTCGATCATACGGACAAGTCCTGGTCCCTTCAAGTCCGGAAAAAATGGATTTCTACTCCACGCGGGACTTTGTTTTAATGTATCTTTCTAAGTCGATGCGAAGAGCTAGAATGGCTTTCTAATATAATGTCTCGATTTTCAAATTCTTCTTTTCTTCAGTTCACTTCGGTCTATTCATGGTCCAAAAAATTGTCCATATGAACCAAACGATGGGCTCTCATACTTTCTTAATTTGAAGCTAAATTTTTTAAATTCACTAGTTTTCGTGGACCGCTTGACCAATTCATATCTTTCAATTAATTAATGTTTTTAGTTGAGATAAAAAATTTTACTTAATTTTTTAATTGTTTTAGTTTTTTTTATTCATCTATTTATTTATACTCCAGATCGATCCCCATTAAACTGAGGAATTATTTTTTGCACACTGAAGTTCGAAACGAATATATTTTATATTTCATTTATGGAAAACATACACATATTAATGGTTATAGAACGAAAATAAATTAATGTCCCAAGGTAATTAATGGCATTTCCTGTTGATTTGAACGCAAAACAGCGAGGATAGGCGGACCAAATTACAAGTTCATCACTTCGCAGACCGCACGGAGAAATCTCACAATGGTTGCTAATGTAATAATGTCGAATATTATGAAACTTACTGAATAAAATGAAATCTCATAATTTATCACGATTTTTGTGATATATGGCATAAACGAACCAATGCTGGGCTCTCAAACTCTCTTACTTCGAAACTTTTGAATTGTTTTAGGTTTTTTGTACATTTATGTATTGTCCAGATCCTGAAAATACAATTTGAATCTCTAAAAACGTACTGAAAACAATTTCACTCTCACAATTTATCACAATTTTTGTGATATATGACATGAACAAACCGAATTTTTATGAAAGAGCCCAATTATTTTACATTAAAACATTCTCAAACTAAAAGAAATATGTTTTCATATTTAATGTTATATAATTTTAAGTTTTAATTATAATTAATTTTCATATGATTTTTAAGTGCTCAATTGTTTGAGTGTAAGAAATGTAAAACTTCCTAACAACATAATTTACGAATCGAATTCCAAATCAGAACAGGCAATGTTAAAGTAATAATAAAAAATAACAACAATAAAACTAATATATTCAATGAGCCCTACATAATTTTTACAATTCAGTTTTGAATTTTTGACAGTTTAGTGATAAACGATTTATTTAATCTGGCCACAATTATGGTGGAAAGATTACAAAGTGGGGCAATAAAGTTCAATCGAGCTTTCTTTCCCAAGTGTTATAACAATATAAAACTAACGGCCGGGTTTTAGCTGTGTGCAAAAACACACATTGTTCATAAAAAGTGAAGAATGAAAAACCTAAAACATGAAAAATCCTTTTTTGTAAATTTGCAATATTAAACAGTGCAAAAGTTAGTTTTTAAATCAGTGTAAATAACGAAAAACTTATGTACATCCCGATGTAAAATAATCAACATTTGACTAAAAAGGTCAGGAACAATTTATTTACATGTTTAAATATATATATTTGGTACATAAATACATTTTTTAAATTTAATAATAAAAAAGTAGGAAGTTTATGGGCCGACCAACAGCTGAGGTCATCGCCGACCTTCTGCGTGTTTCCTTCTTTTTCTCTTCTTTCGCGCATATTTTAAACTGCGGCCATTTGAGCGTCTCGATTTCAGATATAAACTACGTTGATATCCTAGAATGCTAGTCTCTCGTTTGAACTTCAGGTTGTCAAATACAGAATAGAAACAAAACATACAATACATATATATATACATCACCACAAACATAGATGTCTGGTCACATTCACTCCTCCAGAGTACTCAATATTCCTCAGGGCGGGGTTATAAGCCAACCCCTTCCTTTCACGCTAATAAATTACTTTTACTCTCCAGACGTCACACAGTCACCCCTAGAGTACTCGATATTCCTCGGAGCGGGCTTAAGTCACCCCTTCCTTTCATGCTAATAAATTACATTCATTCGAATAAATTAACATAAAGTCAAACACAAACACACATAACAAAACAACATAAACTAATTATACAAAGACTACGCACAGGTCCGATGATATGCCAAAATATTATCTATATACATCAAGCCTTCTAAAATTGACAAGGTGCTCGACCGTTATTCAATCCTTGCATAACGGGCACCTACGAGGTCGCTTTCCGGCCAGAAGGTGCCCGTGCGTTATTCTTGTATGACCTATGCGTAGTCTTGTCAGCATGGTCTTTTCCCTTTTCGAACTGTTCTCCGTTGACCAGGAACCGACTTCTTTCTTAACCTGCCACGTTTAGCAGTTATTTCTATTTTTTAAATTTAATTTTTAATACTCATAAAAATGTACGACGTTTTGCAAGCTAACAAAATATGCAATGACAGAAATCCAGTTAAGACTTTTAACATGTAAGATAAATATAAATATAGTTGCCTGTAAATATTTAAAATAAAAACAAAAGAATATGGGTGGGAGTAATAATTATCAGCATTTTAACAAAGCAACATAGATAATATTTAAATGAAGGAGAAGGGATTCGTTATCAGTAACAGCGATACAAACACATAGAAAGATTACATTTTTATATCAGGATTATCCACACAATTCTCAAATATTTCTCTATTATATTTTTCCTCCCTCTTGCTAACCATTGAGACGTTGAATAGTCTCCAGGTTATAAGTACATGAACGTGTTAGAGAGTTAAAGAACGCGAATTTTTTCCCTTAGGGGAAAATAAAAATTCCATTAACAAAATCAGAAGTTAAGAAACAACATCTTCATAAACGGAAGGCCAAAATTTAGCCGTTGTTGAGATGTAAGTAAAGAATTAAATTTATGAAACTTTTTTTATGACATGATTTATAAAAACAGAATAGATAAACTTTTAAATTGGCTGTTTCCTTTCTCGAGCTGTTTTGTTCTGTCAGACGTATTTTAGCATTTTGCCACCTCCCCATGATGATCGGAGATGATCAGACATAAAAAATTTTAATGTTCAAGTGGTCTAACTAGTTTTCCCGAGTCATTGGTCAAACTTATGAGTTAAAATATCTATAATTTTCTGCGAGGACATTTCAATGTCATAACAACAGCACGATAAAAAAAGTTAATGTTCCTTTGCTAAATAATAGCAATTCCTATTGATTTGAACACGAAACAGCGAGGATAGGCGGACTACAGTAATCGGAAACGACCAATTATGGAACTTAATAAAAAAATGGAAATGTCACATTTTTGTAATATATGGCATGAACGAGCCAAATGATAGAGTCTCAAAAGAAGGCTATGCCTTAATTCGACTTAAGTACAGCTTTTAATGTTCCAATGGTCTAACTGCTTTCCCCGAGTCATTGGTCAAGCTTATGAGTTAAAATACCTATAATTTTTCGTGAGGACATTTCAATTTCATGACAACAGCACGATAAAAAAAGTTAATGTTCCTTTGCTAAATAATAGCAATTCCTATTGATTTGAACACGAAACAGCGAGGATAGGCGGACCACAATGGAACAACTCAGCTATGATGATCGGAGATGATCAGACATAAAAATATTAGAAGTTAAATTTTAGCGTTATCTTAAGGCTTAAATCACTCGTCTTTCGTTAGATTTATTGGAAAGGGTCGCAAACGATAACATATCACTCAACAGGCATGGTTGA